TAAATCCTTAAATAATACATATTTGTTTAATGCTCTAAACATTTTTGTTTTCACAAAACTTGAATTAAAATAACACAATTTCACAATCATTTGATTAAATGTTTGGAAGCATCATTTCCTTGGGAAGAATCCATTTTAAGCTTAAAGTAGGCTTTTATTAAATCTATTACCCAGAAAACAGTTAACACCATGAAAATACACTGCTGTGGTGAATATTTCGGTAGAAAAAAATGAAAATTTAAACATTTTAGATTTATTTGAAATACATTTTCAGGTCGATGTTTGGCTCATAGCTATCCAACACTCAGAACACCATTTTCATTTCACCATTACACGGCTGAAATCAATATATATCCTCAAAAACTGAGTTCAAACTTAACTGTTTGAAAAATTCTACATGCTTTTTCGTCAAAGACGTTTTAAGGGGATCAAAGTTTGGATAATATTTTCTTTACGCTAACTATTGTCTGTTTCCAGGTAAGAATATCCTTAGATTAGTGCAACCTTTTGGTTTCAATTTGATATCTATTCTTTCATATCTTCTCTGCAGCGGAGGGAAACATGTTGTCCTTTACGACTCAAAATATAAATTGATTTTAAGGAGTTGCATTACGATATAAATAAAATACTAACATCCCTGGAAATCCACCTGTAACTGACCATTCTTTAGACAAAAACCTTTTGTTATTAGTATCTGGGAACACAATGGCTATTCAACAAATTGATGTGCTCCCCAAGCTTACTTGTAACTGTCCATTCTATAAATATTGTATTTTTTGTATGTTTGCTACCTGTTTTACACATTTGAAAAAAAATATTCTCAGAACAAAGAGAACTATGTTTTAAGGAGGACAAAGGCGTCAATCTGTCCTTTCAGTGAGAGATATAACTAATCTCGGGCATCGAATAGTTCTTTCTCTCACAGATTGGACAGTTTTTGGTCTTTCTCGTTTACTTAAACGTACTAATTTATCTCTACATTTAAACTTTAAAACATATAGTTTGAAAAAGGATTATAAAGTTAGATATTTGATCAATTTTTTTCAATTCCGATAGTAATGCGTCATGTAATTTCTATTTTTCTCCCTTTTTTCTTTATCAAACAAGTTTTTTACCACTTATGAAAAAATGTGACCTACGTTTTCTGGTATAGTGAACGGGTTTAAGTTATTGGTGCAGGTTTCAGTTCTAAGTATCAATGAGCCCTATAATGACCAAACTTGCATGGATGATACACCTAAGAATTCAGACAACCAGGCTTGCTTCGGATGCTGAATCTGACCTACATTTTCTGAATGAGTCAAAAGGTTAGTTTTTTATACAGGTTTCATTTCCAAGTAACTATGAGCCCTATCTATGCAAGGCAGACGTTCATGGATGATACAAGAATGTACATTAATGTACTTGCTACAGATGCTTAATAGGGCATACATTTTCCAGATAATAGACCCTGCAGGTAGAAGTAATGGGTGCAGGTCTATCACCAAGAAACTATAAGGCCTATATCAACAACACTTGCACAAAGGATGCATCAAGGGATGAAGAGATGAAAATTCTCAAACTTGCGTCAGACGCTGGATTTGAATTACATTTTCTTGATGGGTGACTATTTTGAAGTTTTTGGATAGGTCTATTCCATAGTAACTGGAAGCACTATCAGATCAAAATTGTATTTAAATTAAGGATGGACACTTTTTTCGAATGTTGTTTAATTGTGAAACTTAGCCTTTTTAAACACCCCTACTAATGTGTTCAGAACCATTTGTTTTTCGGTGTTCTGCGAATTATAAAACCCGATGAGTTCAGAGTAACTCTGACAGTGGCTCTGGCGAGAGTTAGCGAGACTTCAGCGAGATAGGGTAAATTATTCACGGAAATGTGGATAGGAAGCTACTGGCACGTGGAGACATGGTAAACAGAAAGGTTTTGTTGCGTTTTAGTTTTCACCACCCTATGATATCATTCTGTAAAAATGTACTTCAATCGATCTTTCTTGAATTCATGCAAGTTTAAATTATAAGTATTCTCTATGATACATTTTTCTGCTGTCATGAATTAAAATTTCTTTGTGGACAAATATTTTGCATGGGAACCGTGACTATATTTTTTGGCATCAAATTGGCAAATGAGGCAGCAATAGAACTTTAACTGACAAATCAGATGAATGAGAATTTGATTATGAATTACTATATACAAATGCAACAGGAATTATACGCTTGGTAAATTCCTTTTTTGTACTATCGATGAATACAATTGTCAGGTGGATTCCCTGGCCAACACAACGTGATCACGAGTATAGTTATGTAAAAAAATGTTTTGTCCATTTAAATGCATTCGAGAAGCTGCTCGTTTTCCTTACCCTTGAACTGCTTGTGTTCTGAACTTGACACTTACTACATATACATTTTATTAAACACATTTTTTTCTCTAGTTTACAACAAATTAAAAACGCCCGTAATATTTTTCATAATTTCTAATGTTTGCATTTTGTTCATAGGAATTTTTTTTTTATTTTGCACTCCATTGACATGATCATAGATTGACCTGAACCACGTGTTCGAAGTAACATGTAAACATGTATTTGGCGTAAATATATTCAATCAACAATTGGTCAGTTGCTCGTGGTAAGATCCTCTGTGTGCATTAATAGCAATAGCCATGTAAGGCAAACGAAGGTTTTTCGGTGTAGATGATATTACACATGTTTTTTTTTTAATTACCAGCGTATCGGTCGATAGTGAGCTATGATAAGATGTATTAATTGTTATTTACCCCCACCACCCCCTTTTAAGCCACTCATTAATTTCTGTTGAAAATCATGAAAGTCTCAGAAACTTATGGAAGCACATTTTTCACAGGACATGTTTTCAGAAGAAACAGACTATAGCAATTTCCTGCTTATCGCCAGTTTTATTTATAAAATCGGTTCTACCCTATAACCTTTAAATAGGGAACCCTAACCCACGTTTCCTGAATTTAAATCACAATAACATTAATACAAGGGGTGTCCTGAATTTAAATCACAATAACATTAACAGGGGTGTAATCAGTCGAAACTGGTGTAGACGAACGTATGTTATACAGGACTCCGTAGCGAGAATAATAACGTAATACTTCGTCTAATGCAGGAAAGTAAGATACCAAATAAATTTTCAATTATAATTATACAGTTCAGTGCAGAATACAAACAACACAAATAAACCCAATTGCAATAAAATGTAAACAAAGGTAATGCAAGATAACCAGCACGACTTGACAATAAAGCAGTCGCGTGTGACGAATGCGACGAGTATACCCTAGTATTGATGTATCTTAGATAATGCTATCGAAAATGGCGTATGCCTATTTACGAGTCGTGTTCAGCTTTAAAGACAACATTCATTGAGGTGAGCTCTGTAATTTCTGAATACCTATGTTTTTCTAAGCGATATAAAGGTCTATAAATAAAAAATTTTAGCATCCTTCTTCATACATGTAGATATTTAATGTAGTTATAACAACATTTATTTTCCAGGGATATTTAATGAATAAGGTAACAGTGAAATTATAAAAAAAAGAATTACATATTTCGTAGATAACTTTTGCGATGACATAACGATTCTTCATACACGATATCTTAGTTTTTGAATAAAAAATAAGCATGAAAATCCTTACCATAAAAAAGATAGGTCTTTTCACTTCGGAGTTCCTAATTACAATGACAATAAAGAACACAGGGTGAACGCAAAATAAACGGAACGAATAAAGAACGCTGCACGTTTTGTAAACGGTGAATGCGAGCGCACGGTTAACGGTGAACACAAAACAGTTTGGACGAACTGTGAAGGAGCGGCGAGCGAACGATGAGCAAATGGTTAAAAAGAAAAATAAGTATCCCTTTTTGGGACTGGGGACGTTTTCTTTGTGTTTTTGGAATAAAAACGCACTTTACAACTTAGTAAAAAGTGAACAAAACTCATGGAAATTCGTATTTTCATTAATTTCGACTTTTCATCAAACGTTCTCTGACTTTGTATATGATATCACTTAAATTCAATACCCATTTTATAAGAATAATGTGTTTACAGATATTTCCTTTTTATTTATTACGTATTGTGCTTTTTAGAACGGATTCAATCAAGTCAAAATGGGCATAAGATCTTGTGGAATTTGGTTATTTATGTAATTAGAAGTGCTTATCAAATAGCTCATGGGTTGATGACTAAAATTACAACCGACTAACGTACATCCAGAGATATTTCTATTTTTATTCAACGTACTATTTTCTTTTTACATTATTTATGTAAACAACAAACAAACAATTTTTCAAGAGTAACACAATTAGATATTTTCTAAAATTTCTTCAATTATGATGGCATTTCGTAATGGATTTTTTCTGCAATAAAAAAACTTCCTCTATGTTTTTTTTTTTAAATTTCATGAAAAAGACCTTCCTGTGACATTGTTTATAAAATGACTTAAAATCATTACCCATTTTCTAAAAAGGATAAAAATAAATACTTTTTATTTGAGAAGTGTTGCATCTTTATAAGATCCATCAAACCAAGGGATCAGAAAAGGACTTACGTTTATCTTTAAAACATCGTATATAGCTGTACATGTAACACTACATAAGCAAAGAAAAGAATTCTTTGAACACAGTCAAGATTTCTTTAAACACAGTCAAGAACTGTTTTAACACAATAAAGATTTCTTTTCATGTTTTATACTTTTTGTTTCATGATCCATAGTTAGTTGTTGAAATGTTCAATCTCATAAAAATAAATTTCGACGAAAAACGTTTTTTTTTTTTTTTTTTTTTTTTTTTGAAAGTATGATGCAATAATAATTACATTATGTTATAAATAATCTACCTCTAAGAGTTCGATTTTTATATAAAAAAAATATCGTTAGATTCAGTTAGATGGAAATAAAGGGATTGTTTGTAGAATATATGCTTGAATGAATTTTTGACAAAATGTAATTTCAGATACCTATATTCCAACAAAATTTTATTTCAGACGGCTGGATAAGAACAAGATAACCACTATTTCAGACAACGCCTTTAATGGAATTCCAAATTTACAAGAACTGTAAGTTTTTAAACATTTACTTTTCATCTGTCAGATTTTTTTAAAAAGTGATCTGTTAACATATCCCAAATTTGATTTATCAGGCCTAAAACTTTTTGTTCTGATTCGTGTTTTTTTTAACTAAATTTCTTCAATTCTAATGCTTTTGATGCTAATGTGTCATCTTTATTTTAATTTTGTCTTAATTTTCGTTCCCTCTTGAGATTCTCATCTTCTCCTAAGCCCAACTGCTTTCAAGATGAATTTCCTCTGCAACTAAAAAAAATAAACAAACCAAAGAAGGGTTTGTGAACTCATTCTAGTTTTTTCCTTGATAAATACTTTTTGTTTCATGGTTCACCGAGTAAAACTGAGTAGAAAGTGAACAGAATCGATGGAAATTTGTATTTTGATCAATTTCGCATTTACTGTTATTTCCTTTTTATTGATTTATAATGCGTTTTTTAGAACGGATTCAATCAAATCAAAACGGGCATGAGATTATGTGGAATTCGGTCATTTATGTAATTAGAAGTGCTTATCAAATAGCTCATGGGGTTGACGACTAAAATTACAGCCGACTAACGTACATCGAAGGATATTTCTATCTTTATTCAACGCACTATATTCTTTTTACAGAGTTTATGTAAACAACAAACAAACAATTTTCAAAGGTTAACACAGTTAGATGTTTTACAAAATTACTTCAATTATGAAGGCAATTCGTATTGGATTTGTTTTCTGCAATAAAAACAGTTGCTTTGTTTTTTTTTTCTCTAAATTCATGAAAGGGACCTTCCAGTGGCATTGTTTAGAAAATCATTCAGAATCATGATTACCCATTTTATAAAAAAGGATAAAAATAATTACGATTCTTATTGAGAAGTGTTGCATCTTTATAAGATCCATCGAAACAAGGGACCAGAAAAGGTCTTAAGTCTATCTATAAGACATCGAGTAAAGGTGTGCATGTAACACCACATAAGCAAATAAAAGAATTCTTTGAACACAGTGAAGATTTCTTTAAACACAGTCAAGAAGTTTTTTAACACAGTAAAGATTGCTTTACATGTTTTATACTTTTTGTTTCATGATCCATAGTTAGTTATTGAAATGTCCAATCTCATAAAAATACATCTCGACGAAAAACGTTTTTTTTTTTTTTTTTTGATTTTTTTTTAAAGTATGATGCACTAATAATTACATTATATTATAAATAATCTACCTCTAAGAGTTCAATTTTTATATTTAAAAAATATGGTTAGATTCAGTTAGATGGAAATAAAGGGATTGTTTTCTAGAATATATACTTGAATGAATTTTTGACAAAATGTAATTTCAGATACCTATATTCCAACCAAATTTTATTTCAGACGGCTGGATAGCAACAAGATAACCACCATTTCAGACAACGCCTTTAATGGAATGCCAAATTTACAAGAACTGTAAGTTTTTAAACATTTACTTTTCATCTGTCAGATTTTTTAAAACAGTGATCTGTTAACCTATCCCAAATTTAATTTATCAGGCCTAAAACTTTTTGTTCTCATTCGTGTTTTTTTTTTAAATAAATTTCTTCAGTTCTAATGCTTTTGATGCTATTGTGTCATCTTTATTTAAATTTGTCTTAATCTTAGTTCCCTCTTGAGATTCTCATCTTCTCCTAAGCCCAACTGCTTTCAAGATGAATTTCCTCTGCAACTAAAAAAAATAAACAAACCAAAGAAGGGTTTGTGAACTCATTCTAGTTTTTTCCTTGATAAATACTTTTTGTTTCATGGTTCAAGTAAAACTGAGTAGAAAGTGAACAGAATCGTTGGAAATTTGTATTTTGATCAATTTCGCATTTACTGTTATTTCCTTTTTATTGATTTATAATGCGTTTTTTAGAGCGGATTCAATCAAATCAAAACGGGCATGAGATCATGTGGAATTCGGTCATTTATGTAATTAGAAGTGCTTATCAAATAATTCATGGGGTTGACGACTTAAATTACAGCCGACTAACGTACATCTAAGGATATTTCTATCTTTATTCAACGCACTATATTCTTTGTACAGAGTTTATGTAAACAACAAACAAACAATTTTCAAAGGTTAACACAGTTAGATGTTTTACAAAATTACTTCAATTATGAAGGCAATTCGTATTGGATTTGTTTTCTGCAATAAAAACAGTTGCTTTGTTGTTTTTTTTTTTAATTTCATTAAAGGGACCTTCTAGTGGCATTGTTTACAAAATCATTTAGAATCATGATTACCCATTTTATAAAAAAGGATAAAAATAATTACAATTCTTATTGAGAAGTGTTGCATCTTTATAAGATCCATCGAAACAAGGGACCAGAAAAGGACTTAAGTCTATCTATAAGACATCGAGTAAAGGTGTGCATGTAACACCACATAAGCAAATAAAAGAATTCTTTGAACACAGTGAAGATTTCTTTAAACACAGTCAAGAAGTTTTTTAACACGGTAAAGATTGCTTTACATGTTTTATACTTTTTGTTTCATGATCCATAGTTGGTTGTTGAAATGTCCAATTTCATAAAAGTAAATTTCGATAAAAAACGTTCCATTTTTTTTTTGAAAGTATGATGCAATAATAAATACATTATATTATAAATAATCTACCTCTAAGAGTTCAATTTTTATATTAAAAAATATCGTTAGATTCAGTTAAATGGAAATAAAGGGATTGTTTGTAGAATAGATATTTGAAAGAATTTTTTACAAAATATAATTTCAGAAATCTATATTCCAACAAGATAACCACCAATTCAGACAACGCTTTGAATGGAATGCCAAATTTACAAGAACTGTAATTTTTTAAACATTTATTTTTCGTGTGTCAGATTTTAAAAAAAACGTCATCTGTTAGCCAAACCCAAATTTCATGTATCGGGTCTACAACTTTTTGCGCTGATTCGTGAAAAAAACTACAAAGAGGGTGGAAATTAAATTCTTGTATAAATTTCTTCAATTCTAATGCTTCGGATGCTACTGTGTCATATTTATTTCAATTTTTCTTAATTTTTGTCCCCTCTGAGATTCTCATCTTCTAAGCCCAACTGCTTTCAAGATGAATTTCCTTTTCAACTGAAAAATATAAACAAACAAAAGGAGGATTTGTGAACTCATTCTAGTTTTTTTCTTGATAAATACTTTTTGTTTCATGGTCCATTCCCAATTCTTGATAATGAATTTCCTCTGCGAATGAAAAGGTGTTTTACTTTTGTATTTACAACACCGTGTTTGCAAAGCATCGTAGTAACGTCTATTTCTGGCACATCATTTTTTCAGTTAGCACTCTGATACACTGCAAACATATAACAAGGAATATTTCAGTTTTGTTCTTTTAAGAATTTTGACAGGGTACTTAGTATGAAACTATCCCCTTTGACCAAAGGAACATATTTAAACAACCATGAGTGCTGCTCCTATTTTGAACGCTTTTAAATAGACAAATACTTATGAAACGAGACCCGAAAAGGAAATTTTACTAATATTTTCTTCATAAAGTAAATATTCTGTGGAAACAAATGGATATTGCTTTCCTTTTTTTAGGTGTCTCGTATCTAGAAGGACTCAAAACTAGTCCGTAATCTGACGCCTAAAATGAAAATAGTCTTTGTTACATCAATGATTGTTCCAACTTTCTTTAAAATATTGTTTTCTGTCTAAATAATTAACTATAAAACATACGTTTTTTTCTTCTTCCAATCAATTATAAAAATCTTATTCCAGCAATGCTTTAACTGCAGAATAAAACTTTTTTTCTATAGTAGGTCTAAAAGAAACCCAAGGTTGGATATGAGTATTAATATTGTCCTTTAATTATTACTTGAATTCACTGTTGGGATGCGACTTAATTTGCAACAAAACAATGAATTGTGAAGGCCGAATTATGCACTTTTTGACAAAAGCAACGATGCACATTTGAATTTTGTACATTTTCAATTCAGAAGTTCAAGATTGCTATTGTTTGATAATCTTTTTTTTTCGATTTGTTTAAAAGCGTACACGGAAGCACAAGTTGATGGTAAATTATTTTACCAAAAGTCTGCGATTCTGATGAAATTTTGTCCAAAAAAAATATGATTTCTTCTAAAAACCTTAAGGACGAGCTTGCCTATATTACAGTTTATATTAGCAAAGTGTACTATATCAATAGACAAAAATTTGAATATCATTGAGGAAATTTCACCAATTGAAACCTGCATCTGTGTATTTTATTCCTTGTAAACAATACACATTATGTAAGAGGGATAATGACAATTTTTAAGCATTAACAACGTTTAAGAAACACTCAAACAGGGGACCAGAAATTGATCAGGTTAATTCGATGTACTAAGACATTAAAAAGCTTTCTTACGAAAAATAATTAAATAAGAATTTCATTTTGGTAATGGCATGTGAATTGGAAGATCATTTAAGTTAAACTAATGTCAGAAATCACTTTCTGTGTTAAAAGAAGTCGTTTGAAATTTATAACGGGAGTTGTTAGAAAAAAATGTGGACACATTGATTGATGGAAAATATATTGGAGATTTAAAGAATGACGTACATTTGAACATTTGTATCTTTCGTTCGAAAGGACGTAGAAAGCTGTTCCATTTACTTGTAAAAAATGTAATGAATTAAACTGTAGAGGATTATGATTCAGTGTGTATCCTGATTACATTTTTTGACTTTTTCATTCATTTATATTTATTGCTTTGTAAGCGCTATTTCGGCTACTTTAGTGTAATACTGAGTAATTTTCGATTCAAATAATAGGAGTCAATTAGCAAGGTAAAGATATGCATTAAAATTGTGCGAAAGTCCACTGTTACATGTAGTAGATAAGGTCCGTTCTTGTCATGCTTATCTCAATACATTACAGGTCATTTAAAATCGCATCTGCACTCATGAATTGCATACCATGTAGCTAACCACTGCTGCATTTATGACTCAAATTCTTATTAAAAAAAGGTTTATTATAATGTAATGTAAAAGTAATGTATTCATTGAATAAATGCATATTTTTTTTGCTCACGTGGGATTTTTAAAAGTTTTTAAAACGTTAACTGAAAACAAGCTCTTTAGTAGAAAATTTCGCATAAATTTGAAGTAGAATGTATAGTATTTACATATGAATATTCTATATATCTTATATCCATATTAAATATTTTTTTCTTCTTTAATATCCTTACTTCAGAGAATGTAATTAAAACAAGTCTTTCTATTAAAACCCTTGCACCATGCAGAGAACTATTAATGGTATTGATATCTTTTCACCTTAGTATCAATTATTAACAGACTCGAATGTATTCAAATACTGTCTATACATGTATTGTACTCTGTATTTGTAACACGGGTAAAAATAATATACATATAACTCGCAAAAAAAGCAGTTTGCGGCTATACGTACTTAAAAGGCACGTGCCTGTATTTCCAAGGAAACTACTCAAATAGGATTTCAATGTTCCAGAATAGTGTGCTTTAAAACCGTGTGCAGTGCACAAGATATGGTGAAAAATATCCCCAAAATAATGAAACACTCTTAACAATGAACAGGAATACACCCGGCTAAATGTTAAGTGTGATAATGTTTTATCTTTAGACTTTTACATCAAACTTTCCAACGTAAGATATGGCAAAAAAAAATGCAAAAACAAAATAAAAAACTTAATTAATCGTTCTTAGCGATAGACAGAAACAGCGCCGACTAAATAATAAGCAAACGATGTAATATTTGTATTTAGAAACTAGAGAGGAATAGTTTATGTTAAGATGTGCGCGTGTTGCTGATTTGACGAATAAGCAACTGAATGAGGGCTATATAAAACCGAAAAAAAAAACAATTTGTACACCTTCATGAAGATTTTTTTAAACTTGCTATGAATGTGATTATTAAACTGTATTTTCTTTGTCGGGCTGATGAAGTATTTATCAATGAAATAGCAGAAAAAACTATGAGCTATTATTTCAAGTAATGAATGTTTCATTTCCTTAACACAAAAGCGCTACGGATATTTTTTCCAGCTCTAAACATTTTTAAAAATATCATGTTGCAATTTATATTTGATAAAAAAAATTCTGTCAGAAAGGGCACAAGTAAAGAATTATTTAAAGAACTAAATATTCAAACATTCTAAAAATAAAATATTGAAGCATTTTAAAGTATTTCAACGAAAGTATAAATTTACTTTTAAGGAGTTAATAACATATTTTTAGTTTAAGGAAGAAAAGTATAAGCCAAAATAAAAGTAATTTTTACAAACCGACACATGTACATGAAATTGTGAGATCAACAGAAAAAACCAATTTTAGTCGCAAATACATTATCAACTGTACATGTACGATGAAAATCAGAGATAAAAGGATAGCAACCGATGTTTTATCTTCAAACAAAAAATACAGAATGATATAATATATCTTTATACTCAAAATCTATATTTAACAATCACCTCTGACATTAAATGTACACTAAATGTTTGTGTGTTCATTTTATTGACAAAGAGTTTTGTCACATGACGTTGTTAAAAACTTGAAGCCGATATGGTGCACAGTGCGATGTATGTGAAGTGTTAAAAATGCACAATACACATACATGTAGTGTATGTGATACATAGTCTAAGTTTCATTTATCATTGATAAATACTTGAAGCTTTAATCGATTGTGTAAAAATCTTAAACACTCCATAATCGATCTTTTGTACAATCCTTTCTGAAGAATCGCTAAATTTGTAAACCTCTAAAGAATATGAAAAAGATATACATGTTCATGTACTAAAACAACCATAATGATTATCGATATTTTTTTGAGATGTTCAATTCATAACTTTATAGAGAAAGAAATATTTATCAATGCAAAAGTCATACAACATCTTTATTTTCCGAATGCAGATTCTAAACTTAAAGCACAGCGACTAACAGTCAATCTTAAATTCGAAGCACTTGTAAACAAAATGAATTTATTATTAAAAATTATCACAAGAACATTTTAGATTCCGGTGTTGCACATTAATAAAAAGAATTCCAGCGACATCTTTAAGTATTCGAAATCATTTAAAAAATATACATTTTCCAGCACACAATGTGCATCTACATTTACAGTGTATAGTCTGAATTTGGTCGTAAAGCTCTCCGACCATCCCTACAAATAAATTGCGGTTTATACACAAAGCTACATTTTATATACCTCTATAAGACGATGGAGAAAGAAAAATTTAACATGTTTTTTTTAAATTTTTATTAGGTTCGAGAAAAACTTTGGTTTTTGAACTAAATATCTGCCAACTGTATAATGTGTATTTAATGTTAATTTTATGTTCAGAATCAGAAAAATATTTTCCCGCAATCTCATGCATCTTTTGACGAAGAAAACAAATATAAAATGCTTATAAATATTTTTTTAAAAAGGCTTAAAACAATGTTGAAATTCATATCCCAACAGAAATTTCCATGACTCACATAGTACGTGTTCGATTATGTATCAAACAACTGTGCTCGCCCAAACTCAAACTCACTGTCAATATATAACATAATATTTTGACACAAAATGGTCAATTTAAATTCAAAATAATTCAGATGAATTTTAAAATGAAATTTACTTAGCTCTTCCCAGTAGTTTTATTACTTTGACAAGGAACAGTATTCCAGCTCAAAAATTAATTAAATATTACAAAACAGGAGCAGAGCAATTACAGATCTGAAAATCATCAGTGTTGAGATCAGAAGCCATGTAAGAATATGCATCCCTTGCAGACCGGTCACACCCACCTTGTGCTTCTTAAGAAGAAATTACGGAAAAATCCTCTTCTATTTAGTGTGT